GGAATAAGCTACTGATATTAATTCAAGCGTGTGAATTCTATATCTAATTTTGTTAAAATTACCCTTGTGTTTCTTCGTGATTATCATCCTCCATTAATCCCCTTGGCGTGGGTAAATGAACTGTTCATTTTAACCCCGAAGCCCCCTGCCACTCAAAATAGTTATGCACACTTCAGTAAATAGCGGTGGACGATCATTTGCATTGCCTCCCGAGATGTGTCTCCAGTTCACTGCAGGTGTTTTCTGCGATGTCATGTGTAACTGGGATATAATGATTTTTTCCCCTCTTCGCAGACGTGTTTTGAGAAGCGGTGGCCCATGGCATAGTTTCAGGTATGCCGACCGTAATTACCGCGAATACAACGTAGATTACCAGTGATAAACCGGCTGGCTGTCTGTGTCACCTGATATCTGTAAAGAAAACTAATGGCATTTTTGAAATACATGAAATCCATGAACAACATTCATTTGTCTACTTACTGGATGCTGCTAAGGAATGGGTGGCGTTGTTCTTAACTGATTTTCTTTTTTCTTATATTGTCTAGTCCTGGGTATGACGATAAACCACATCCGGCAGCAAAGGTTTATGATCGGGAGATTGATGGTTCTGAGGACGGAACCATCCATTAATTGATGTTGTTCCCATGTCCACCTCGACCGAATGTGCTAGAATCCGTTAGCGTCTCAAATATGGGCAAATAGCGAACCCTCAAACACTATGAACGTATACAAATACACTTTTACATAAAAAAATTACCAACAATGCATATTTATAGAAAAAGTACCAACTATACATTTTTATAGTAAAATTACTAACTATAGAGTTTGAAAACATAATGACAAGCACAAGATAGCATATATAGTTGAATGCACACAATTGCATTCAAAATATTTAGATTTTGGCATTAAATAATTCATAGAGGTTGATATGACACTAAACAAAATCAACCAGAAATATTTTATAGCCATAAGAACATATAACTGTATACTATGATTGTAATATGAGAGTATAGCGTCACGGCTATCGGCGTAGATGGTGGAATTGGCATTTAACTTTGACATTAATCCGAGGCCGTTGCGATAGCTTTCGCACAATATCCGTCTAAATGTATGAGTTTTTTGTTTTATTTTATTGGGGGGGGGTGAGCTTTTCAACCTAAGCAAGGTGAAAAGCCACTAGCACGCAAGCAGTTTCAGAGAGTTGGAGCGAGAGCAAATAGGAGTGATAGAGGAAGGATGAAGAGAAGGATTGGGGATAGATTAGGGCATCTGGACACGTCGATTGACATTACATTTGAATAGTTGGAGATGTGATTGAATAGGCGAGAAGTGCGAGGTATTAGAGTAGAAGAGACGGCTACATTTAACAGTTTAGACAGTGAAAGTGTGAGAGCAAGATGCCAGCCTAGTTGAACGCTTAAATTCAGGAAGTCTGGGAACCAGCGAAAGCAGCTCATCGGAGCAGTTACCATGAAAGTATTTGTAAAAAAAGACAGAGGGAGGCGACGGCACGTCTGTGAGAGAGCGACTGCAGATGAGATACGAGATCAAGGCCAATTACATTGCATATCCGTCTCTGGATTTTATCAAGAACCTTGAGACAAACAGAAGGAGCTCCAGACCATATATGGCAGCAATACTCCATGCAAGGGCGAATGGTTGATTTGTAGATTTGAAGGATCGACCCCGGCGAGAAAAATTTCCTGGCGCGGCACAGACAGCCGACTTTCCTTGCGGTGGACGAAGCTATTGACTCAAGGTATTCGTTCCCTCTCAGGTGAGCGGACAGTGTGAGACCGAGTAGCCGCAAAGAGGTGCTCTCGTGGAGTTGAACGACATACATTGTAATGGGAGGCAGGGATGGTTCTCTGTGGTGAACAATAGAGATCGGTATTGTTTTAGAGGCATTAAAGTTGACCAGCCAATTCCTGCCCAAATTCACAACCGATTGGAGGTCTTTTTCAAGACAAAAGGCCAGGTTAGTTTTGTCAGCGTCACTAGATTTGTTTTTGAGGCAAATGTAAATTATAGTGTCGTCCGCGTAGATGCCTACTTGGGATCCTATGACGTCACCAATATCGTTGATGAAGATAAGGAACAGAGTAGGGCCTAGGATGGAGCCTTGGGGAACACCTGCGTTTGTAGGATAGGAGCTGGAGGAGAATCCATTGAGAACGACCTTCAATACACGGCTTGACAGGAATGATTATATTAAGTTTATTTCTTCTTCCAAGCAGTTAGTAGGAGAGCAGGCTACTTTTTGCAGATTTTGTTGACAATAAATTCAACGCTGAATCCACCATCGGTTGGGCTTAGAGCTGACAATACTACCACGTAAAACGTTCTCGCTTCAGCAGCTCATAGCGGGATGAGACCCTGAGCCGATATTACAAAAAGCCATCTACAGGGTTAATATGATATTTTCTGATCACTACCACTAGTTGTTTGGTATTTTAAAGTTGGTGTCCTTTGGTCGACATTCTATTCTCCATGCCGAAAATGAAAACGAAGAGAACCCTTGCAGTAGGTCTTCGTAAGGACAGAACCATATGACGTCACAAAATCGGATCCGCCCTGATAAGTTAAATAACCTAAAATAGACATGTCTGAACTGAAATATGCCTAAAATTAATTAGTTAGTTTTTTTTTTATCATCCCACCCCAAGCATTGCTTTTAAATTTTTAAAGATTTTGATTAGTAGAAAAGCAAGAAATGGGAAGAAAATTCTACACGAGAGAGGTGCGAGAAAAGAAACTGTTAAGATAGAAGTTACTGCTGCAATCTGGTAGTAAGCTTAAATTCATGCAGTTGCTGTACCAAGAAGAAAAGCTCATCGGTACAATTGTCATGAAAATATTAATAGAGAAGAGAGAATGTGAAAGTGACTGAAGTCGACGTGTTAGGTTAGGATTTATTATATTACAGACCCTTTTTTGAATTCCGTCAACAATCTCAAGATGTACAGCAGGAGAACCAGACCAGATATGTCAAAAATATTCAATGTACGGACGAATGGTAGATTTGGAAATGTGCAATATGGATTCTGACGAGAAATTATTACATCCATGTCTTTTATATGCTGCACTCATAACTTTTATACATCCATCTATTCCACCGTTTATTTATATTGCCTGTCAATAATATTGGTTTACAAGTAAAACTCTCTCTGAGGCCAGTATTTGAACAGATGTTTTTTTCAAATTTCTGAACAGTTTTGTGCTATGGCTTCTATTTCTTTTCCTTTGCTTTTAGATATCACATTTATATTATAATTCGTATAAATTCAAAATATAATGTGTTTATTTTATCTATTACAAAGGCATATTACAAAACATAGCAGACATACAAAGCATTTACGGAACAAATTATCATGGATAATAGCATACATACATGTCATATTACAGCAGACATTGAGAAATCAGGTTGAATGGACCATCTCATGAACGTTGCATCCGGTATGTCACGCAGGAGCGTCCAGAAGAAGTCCCCCGCCATGCTGGAGTTCTACTTGTCTTTGTGGCTTCTTTTTATCTTAGTAATAAAGGGTGTTTCATTAAGACGGATTATACATAAGAATGTATCATTAAGACGAATCAAAGTCAGCATCAAATAAATCAGTGTTATTTGTATAAATTTATTTGTTTCTCTATTGGATGATGTTATTTGAGTCATGGCAATTATGAATGAAAAATAATCTCCGCCAAATCGGAAAGAAAAAGACAAAAATCATTAGATTAAACCTAATTCATATTTGAGGTGGGCCCAAATTATTGGAACACCCTTTATATTGGTGTGACCTTTCTCTGTGCTCATCACTCACCGCTCTGCCGAATTCCCATAGTTTTCACAGATATACAGTTAAAACTATGTCCCTGCAGCTACAATACTTCTTTAACGTTTACACAATTACTATTTCTTACAACCAAGTCACTTTGTACAAGTAGGAAAGAATGTCCTGGTGTATTGGTATTCATATTCTTCTTCAATTCAGTTCATCAGTCTTACCAACTGATTCGTTCACTAACAATTATAAAAGCATTATTTTTTTTTTATTTTTTACAGTTAACAAGTAACTTCCTTAATACATTCTCGCATAATTTCTACCAGCTTTCCCCAAAAAAGAACTGTAGAATATTCCATTTACCATTTTTGAGAGATTTGTTTTCCCGTGAAGAGAAAATAAAGATAAATGGAAAATGAAATTCGAGTTGTATACAGTTCGTGAATGATCTTTTTTCTTTTTATGTGCCGTGTCTTTTCAGGACTTAGGCGAATATGGCTCTCCACTTCTCCCTATCCCTTGTAGCTCTCAGTAAGTTTCGCGCCCCTACCAAATCATCCAGGCTAGTTCTGCCATCCACTTGCTTAAGCCCGCCAGGTATGATATTCGTTGCTTTCCATTGTCTCTTTTTCTTGTGAGTGTTAGATTCTTCACGCCTTCCTTTGTCATTACGTGTCCCAGAAATTTCATCTGCCTCTCCCTTATGTTAAGTACAAGCTTCCTCCTTATTTGCATCCTCTCCAGAACCTCACTGTTGCTCACATGCTCGCTCCATAATATCCTTAGCATCCTTCTGTAGAACCAGATCTACGCTGCCTCGAGTCTCTTCATCTTTGAGGAGACCGACCAACATTCGCTACCGCAAAGGAGGACAGATGTCATGTAGCAGAACAGTACTCTTTTCTTTGTCAGCAAATAAATACTCTTGCCTCGCAGTACTCTTCCCATCTTTTGGAATGCATCCTTGGCCAATTCAATCCGTCTTCGGATCTCAGTGACACACCTACCGTCCTCTGTCAAAACACTTCCCAGATATTAAAACTTCCGCACATGCTTGATTTTAGTGTCCCCAATCTGCAAATCGCATTTCCGGCTTATCCTTTTACTGATGACCGCGCATTCTGTCTTAGTTTCTTTAATGAGTTTTAGTATTTCACTGGTCATCAAATAAATATGACGACTAGCATTATGGTAACTTCTCTTAACAGGTTGCGTTTTACGGTCGCATCACGTTGAGACACCGGTTCCCATACGATCACTGAAGTTAAGCAACGTTGAGCATGGTTAGTAACTAGATAGGTGACTGCTTGGGGATACCATGTACTGTAAACTTTCATGTAGAGAGTAATGTAATGGATAATAGCTCGGAATACCGTTAGGAAGGGCATAACTCCACTTCTTCTCCACCCAGCTATGGGTTAATTAGTAAGACCCGTATCACCAAACCATTATTTATTATCTTCAAAAATATTCTTACAAACTACAAATGTTTTCTGGCTTTAAATAACCGGCAAAGGGTTGATAAACCATAAAAACCGAATCATTCATTTAAAGCTGGTTGAGTTTTATTGATGGCTTCTTCAAGTTTTCTGATTGCGAGCTCGAAAATGGAATGGAATTCCTTGTCGCTTGTGGGGAAATGATGAGCTATGTTTAGCACAGGACCAAATATATACAAGGCCAGTTATAGGACATGTTTGAAAATCGAAAATCACTAAATAAGCAGGGTAGTTGACTATCACCTTTTAGTAGGGCTCTGCTAGAATCCGTTTGAAATCCATATTTGCCATCTTCCTGATTGGGAAAGCAGACATGAATGATAAACCATAACTGAATCATCTGATTGATACACACAAAAATGCACTAAGCGATCGCGGAATAGTATAAACCTATATAGTTAGATCTGAACATCTGTTAATCATAAAGCACTTACACCTCAAGTTGTTTAGTATATTTCCATAAAAATTGGCATACGAGTTAAATCCTCGCCAAGAACTTTGTGATTAATGCTGTTTATTTACAGACGGGCAGTTACGGTCTAACAAATTGCGACGATCAAAAAGAAAAAATAAGTTTAAAGAAATACTAGTAAAATATTATTCAAAATAAAACTCTTTTTAGTTTGTGAGAGGCGACAAGTTAGAGAAAACCCCAATGGCGATATAAGTCCATAATAATGGTTTTCTAGTCTAATATATATAAACACTACCATAAAGCATCATCCGAAACCCAATATGGTTAGTGAATTTTCGGATATAGTGGGTGTAAGTTCAATCCCTAGTCTGGGTATTGTCTAATTGCACTCAGTGAAAACAAGAGAGAAATAGAATAACAGTGCTAAATAAAAAAAAAGAACGAGACGAGATATCCCTAAACATGAGCAGTGAATGAGAACAGTCTACACCGTGTAGATTAAATAAAGGGTTCAGTTCAGAATTCCAAAACCAGATCGATATACAGCTGAAGAAGGCTGGAGGGCATAACAGCTGGAGGGCACAACGTCTGGAGGGCACAACGTCTGGAGGGCACAACGGCTGGAGGGCACAACGATATAAATATTGTAAATAAGGATTAATGAATATTAGAAAACACACCTGATAATGGATAGAAGCTCACATATTAACAATTACAACAATATTTTTTTTCTCTCTTCAGGAAGCAGTTTCCAGCTCTGTATAATTGTCGCCTTCATTTACAATAATAATTTCAGAGTAACAAGATTCAAGTTGTGCTAAATTTTGACTTGGAGAAAGAAAAATCTGAGACTGTGATATCTGCAGAAGGAATGCTGATTACAGAGGAAACTGCTGATCAATGAACTGGAAACCTATTTGGGCGTTGCTAGCGAAAAAACCGGAATAGAACGATAATAGAATTATTGCATATCAATTGAAAAGGGCAGGTTTGTGGTTTGAGAGACAATGAGAAACAGACACTGCTTGAAATCGACTGATTTGAAGCAGCAGATAGACGCTAGCGCGAGCGGCCGACTCATTTGGCATCAGAAACTGAATGAGCTAATGATGGACTCATTACAGGCAACACTAAAATCGTTCAGGAAGACAAGATGGCGATTGGAAGGAATATGCGATTATACTAAGCGGCGATCCAAACGCGGATGAAGCGGCTTGAATGAAACAATTTTAACCTCATTGTACGAGTCTGAATGAACGAAGTGTGAGAATGAAGAAAAGCCATTCAATTCAAATCGGTGGCAATCGGATTAGGGATGAGAATTATATGAACACTTCAAGAAATGAGAGAGAATTCCAACAGTTTATACAACGAGCGTATCTATCTATCCATCTATCTATCAATCTATTTATCTATCTATCTATCTATTTATCTATCTATCTATCTATCTATCTATCTATCTATATCTGTCTTTAATCTACGATAATAGACAATTTCAGTCCACATATGCTGCTTACATAATGTAAATAAAGAAGACTGCTGAAAAACGCCCCAAAATAATAATAATAATAATAATTATTATTATTATTATTATTATTATTATTACTTTCTTTGGTTTCTATTAAAACATTTCCTTCCACGTCCCAACTAGAGTCCTAATGTCAGAAATGGCTCAGTGGCATGTTACTCTGATAAGTTTTGTAAAAAAACAAAACAAAAAAAAAGAAACAAACAGAGATTACATATATTTTATATAGATAAATCTCTTCGTATTTGTATGTATTACTTTAAGGTATAGACTACCAAGTACTGAGGTACTTATTTCCATTTTAAGGTCCTTGTATTTTGGTAGTTTTTTGAAGATCTTCAAAGATACATTACAATCTGCAGGGACTGCCATGTCGGTAAGAAAACACTTTCTGTTCTTGTAGTTAATAGGACCTGTAAAAGCGATGTTTTTACAGGTCCTGTCTCTGTAACCGGATCTGGGTGATGTTCATACCATTTTCTTGCAGTTTCCTTCCCTTTTCCATTATTATTATTATTATTATTATTATTGTCGTTGTTGTTGCTGTTTGTAGTGTTGTTGTTGTTGGTGGTGGTGTTTTCGGACAGTAGATAAATTAGATGCACGATATTTCAAGTCAGAATTTTTGGACACGGCTGTAAGCTTTTTCAACAAAAAATAAAGAGAATATAGATTTTTTTTTTAACAGTTCGATATCGCATCTGCATATTCGTTGTAGGATTTTTTAACAATTATTAGAAATGTGTTGGATCTTCATGAAAAGATTACATGTTATAGATGGGAAATATAGTTAAAAAACAGAGTTAAAACGTTGTCTTGCGCGTGTGTAGATCAGTTCTAAAACCTGTACTAATTATTTGAAGGTCACTAAGAAAACAGTTGACATTTGATTAAAATGTTCTATTGTTATGTGCTGTGGATGTCGAATATTAGATCTTGTATATTGCAACTTTTAATCAAGTTTCAACTGTTATCCTATATGCTGATTCAATACATAAAATAAAATAGACAGGTAATAATATTATTCTTCATTTTAACATTTTTCATCCGCTTAATATCTATCTATCTATCTATCTATCTATCTATATATATATATATATATATATATATATATAAGTGCTATGGATAAACTGTCGTCTAATTTACGCAAAAATGAAAATAACACCAACATTTCATAGACAGGTAATAATATTATTCTTCATTTTTAACATTTTTTCATCCGCTTAATATCTATCTATCTATCTATCTATCTATCTATATATATATATATATATATATATATATATATATATATATATATATATAGGGTGCTATGGATAAACTGTCGTCTAATTTACGCAAAATGAAAATAACACCAACATTTCATAGACAGGTAATAATATTATTCTTCATTTTAACATTTTTCATCCATTAATATCTATCTATCTATCTATCTATCTATCTATCTATATATATATATATATATATATATATATATATATATATATATATATAAGTGCTATGGATAAACTGTCGTCTAATTTACGCAAAAATGAAAATAACACCAACATTTCATAGACAGGTAATAATATTATTCTTCATTTTTAACATTTTTTCATCCGCTTAATATCTATCTATCTATCTATCCATATATATATATATATATATATATATATATATATATATAGTGCTATGGATAAACTGTCGTCTAATTTACGCAAAAATGAAAATAACACCAACATTTCATTAGACAGGTAATAATATTATTCTTCATTTTAACATTTTTTCATCCGCTTAATATCTATCTATCTATCTATCTATCTATCTATATATATATATATATATATATAGGTGCTATGGATAAACTGTCGTCTAATTTACGCAAAATGAAAATAACACCAACATTTCATAGACAGGTAATAATATTATTCTTCATTTTTTAACATTTTCATCCGCTTATCTATCTATCTATCTATCTATCTATCTATCTATATATATATATATATATATATATATATATATATATATATATATATATATAAGTGCTATGGATAAACTGTCGTCTAATTTAAAAAAATGAAAATAACACCAACATTTCATAGACAGGTAATAATATTATTCTTCATTTTTAACATTTTTCATCCGCTTAATATCTATCTATCTATCTATCTATCTATCTATATATATATATATATATATATATATATATATATATATATATATAAGGTGCTATGGATAAACTGTCGTCTAATTTACGCAAAAATGAAAATAACACCAACATTTCATTTTAAAATATATATTTACCAAAATTACATAAAAATATTGTCAAATACTAAAGAGTAAATTTATTCAATAAAATCGCCATTGGCTTCCACCACAGCCTTCAGACAAATTCAGAATATCCTCCAGTTCTTCTGAACGGTCCCCTTTAATTTGGTGAATGCTCCCATAATCCTTGCCTTCAGTTCTTCTTTGACGAGTCGTTTTGTTGGTCCTTCATTCAACCTCGCCCCACGCATAATTATCAAGGGGGTGCAGTCTTGGGAGTTAGGTAGCCAGTTTTAAGGGGTGCTTTGGTCGCAGAGATTATCTGACCACCATGACTAGGTTTTCCCGCTTGTGTGGCAGCAGAAGACACCTTGATCCAGGGCAGCAATACCTACCTGGCTATGGACCTGATTGACTAAATGGATTGTTTTCAATCATGGTCTGGATATTACCAACAAATTCAGGACTCCTTATCTTTTCCGAACGATCAGTGAGTTTTCCGAGCTGCCGTAGCACTAATCATGCGTTCAAATTGGAATTACATAACGCTCTAAATTAATCGATATATATATATATATATATATATATATATATATATATATATATATATATATTGAAAGAAAGGGATAGCGATATTGTT